TGACTGCCAAATATATCATACTCTGAAGATCGGCTGTCACTTTTCTAGATGATGATCCCCTACTTTGGGGTCACTTCTGTCTCCAAACTGTCTTGCATCTAAAGCTATGATTATGGCCCTTTGGGGCAGCTATGATTAAGGCCCTCAGTGGCTGAAATGCATCAGCATGTTTGATGAATTAATAAAGAGGATTTTGTAAGGTGGATCTAATACTGTGTGCTAACTGTTTGCTACATACATTTTGGGAGGCTGACAGGAGCCGTAGTTATGCACCAGAGTCCCGATTTGTCAGACTGGACAGGAAAAGCAAAGCTCTGGCATTTATCTTTTGATTGTTGCATTGAGCATTGTCACCCTAGCACAGGAAGGACTGCAGGTAGTACTAACAGCATTACCAAGTGAAAATAAAGGGACAAAAGGAGACTAATACAGTCATCACATCCAAAGACAGTTTAGCTTGCCTGGGGTTGTAAAGGTCAGTAGTGTTCTGGTGTAACTCGTGGATAACATTAAATGTTAAGAAGATTACCCTTTCTTAAAGAAGAGAAGGATCAGTGATTAACAGTTCCAGTGTTGAAGGTGCCTGCAGAACATTCCAAATAACAACTTTTTGTATTGTCTAACTTCTGTTTTATTTAAAATGTTCATAACTATATAAAACAAATATAAATTATATAATACTATATCAAACAAAAGCATAACGTGAGCAGATAAAAACAAATGAGATCCAATGTTATCCAATGCATTAAACGGGTTGATATACGTTGTATTTGCTTAAATATATTACATCATTGACCTTTTCTTGGCACCATTGTTTCATCTTAATTTGAGGCTGTTTTTCATGTCCGGTGCTGTAGGATACGTCTGTGGAAATAAGCTATCTTGTTTGCAATGTTCTTTATGGTGATCTCAAACCCAACTTACAGCCAAAGCTTTTTTTTTTTTTTTAGAAAGGAAGGGCTACAACTTATGTCAGTTTGTATTTCTGCCTGTCGCTCCATTTGGTAGATTTCACCTCACTTTTTACCCCTGTAAATTCAAGACAAAAGATGAGGGAAACAGGAGTTACCAGGACAGACTGCAATAACCACCTTCCCCACTCCGCTGAAAAAAAGTTTGACTTTAAAGGGTAATATATATGTATTTATGCAAGCCTTAGAATGAACCTGAACTGGGCAAAAATGTGCTGAAGTGTAATCACCTTTGGGGGTTCCTCAGGTTAAACTGATCCCTGTGTCCATATGGATCCCGCTCAACCTTTTCACTCCTCAATCTCCTGTTGCAAAAGTGAAAATGTTATCCCGCCATTTGTCTCATTTGTACACTAAAACTATGTTCCTGCTTCAAACTAAGGTGATGTTATTTACAAATAAATATAATAATGGCCTTTTTTCATTTTTTTTTCTTCTTCAATGCACCTTTACAAAAATGTCCTTTTTAATAGGGATCAAGTACAATGCTAGTAAAGATGCATCAAAATGTGGGTGACACATATTTACGTATTTATATGTTACATGCACAATCAAAGGTCTTAACCTTAACTTAACTGATGCAAGTTTTAAAAATGCAAAGAAAATACATACAAAAAGATACATTTAAAAAATAAATCAAAATGCAATGAAGTGCTTGTACAATATCCTATGAAAATGTAATCAGTGTAACATCAGTAAACATTGAGCTGATAAATTCCTGTAGCAATTGAAGAACAATCAAGGGTATGTAGATCTAGTATATAAAATTTCAATAAAAACAAAGTGGCGACTCACAAATATCAGATGAAAGCAGCGTTTCTCAGGCCATTTAAGTACAGGCAGCTTAAGCACGCACACCATGGCCAGTGGTGGGGCTTTGGTGTAGTTTGTTCAGCTGTAAGAGTTCCTCTTTAGGCAGGAGCCGCTCAGTGATGGTAAAACAAGTGGCAGACTCCAGAGCGCATTTTTAAACAGAAGGTCCAACTGCTTCCAGATGGTTATTATGGCAATAGGTTTTGGAGTAAATCACCCCTTTGTTAAGTCCAACTAGCTGTAAATGTGTGGTGGCATTTATAGTACTGCTATGGTATATTCAAATTAACAGGAGTACAGCAATTGTACTGAATTAGGTTGGTATGGGTTAAATTCAATTAATGTGGCGCTCCTAAAGCACAATAGACTACAGTGGATTAACATTAGGCACAATTATATGCAAATAAAGGATAACAGAACTACATTAATAAAAAAATAGAGGGTTTGGTCACTAGATAGTGACAGGAGTTGTGAGTGCACATAAACAGACATACGGTGATACGATGTAACCATTACAGTGTATGTTTAACTCATCTAGGTTTGCCATGCATTATGGTCTCTAAATGGAGCTAAGGAGCATAGGAATAATAATAATGATATCAGGGGGACATAATAATAATGACAGCTGGGAACATGCTCAGGTGTCATTATTATTATTGTTGCCAATCTATGCAGTGGAAGTGGTAGGTGGCGAATTATCCACACATTTACCATGAAAGTAGAATTATGGGGAGAGTGAAATGCGCTCTTCCCCCTAGTTACTGAAGCTGCCACAGGTTGGCTCTCTTGATTGAGAACTGAGCGATCACAAACTGCTGATCACTCAGTTTCTGCACTCACTCTCTCTGCAGAGAGCGGTGACTGTCAGTCACGGCTCCTCGCAGGAATACCCCCCTCCCATCTGTGATCCTCCAACGCTGACTGGAGGGATGGATGGGGCGGACACAACCTCTAGAGAGGTAGAGTCAGCTGTCAATCAGGTGGTGGGGTGGATCTGGACAATATTTTTTGGATCCATCCCATCTGCAGCATGGCTCTGCTCTGTCAGGCAATATTACATGGGGGCGTAGTGGGGGGCCCAAGAAAATGTTTGCCCGGGGTCCAATCAATATTAAAAACGGCCCTGCACATAGCAAATGATTAATTATATATAACAGAAGGAGAAAGATATAGAAGGGATATGAAGAAACTAAGGCATACATGCAGAAAAAGCAGAGGGGTATTAATAATAAAATAAGGCGATGGTAGGAGTTCATAGTGTTAATATAATAAATTAAAGCAAAACGTGTTTTAGATAACAATAAACATAAATAAAGAGATATCTAAGACTAATTACACATAAAAACAACTAAAAAAAAAAGATAAAAGGCATAAATATTTGCATATTCAATTATTAACAAATTGGTTCTTATTTCAAGCTCCTCATTTTAACCCATAGGGACCAAAGCATTCAATGTGTAAATTCAGAAAGTCTCTTAGTGACATCTCTCAGCTGCAGAAAAATGTGAAGGGATGGATTCTATCACATTCCCTTTAAGCCCATCGGTAAAATGGCAAGTTATAGACTCCCACATTCATTTAGACTTTTGTGCTCACCAAAATGGGTATGCAATGTAGTTCTTGTACCACCAATTAATCAGAGGCTGCATGGACAGGTCAAACCATATATGACATATTCAATGACATAACTATGTATATATATTTGCATGTTAAACATTTATGTGTCTTACACTGAAAGATCCCTACCAACATGCAGAGACACCATGTTTATTGTTTTGCCTTTTGGGTTTTCATTTTACTAGGGGCAATCTTGTTTCTAATACTCAAAGCTTTTTTTTGTATTCAATTTTTGGCTTAGTCCAAGTGTAAATGTCCTCCCAGTGTCTCCCACAGATACAGTTCAGTGAAAGAGCATTATCCTAGCACAGTGTGTTAGTGGTTGGATCACTAGGTGAGAATAAAGGGGGAGAAAACTAATGCAGCTACTGCATTTAAACTGGTAACCTGCAATTTTTGTTCATGGGGTTAAATACACTTTAAGCTTTATTGCCTTCTCCTTTTTTTTTTAGTGCCACTTTTGTTGACTGGTTTGGTTGGATGGTTCATCCACAGAAGGCTGGAGAAACGTCCAGAATGAGGGAGCCCATGGAAATGAATCCTGGCTGCCTTCAAGAGAATGGTAAGACATTAAGGGTATGTCAAGGAGCTAAGCAAAAAGCCATGTAGATAAAGGCCACAATAAAGCTAATGAAGAAAATTTTCAGAGGCGGCTCTAGACATTATGAGGCCTTAGGCAAAGCTCAAATGTGAGGCCCCCCACTTACACCCATACTGAAAAAAAATGCATTCGATAATTAAAAAATGAACTGTGTTGATCAGTGATGGCAGAGAGGTGGACGTGGCCCAGTGCAAGGATTTTTGCCTACACAGGCCCCACCTCCCTGGTGCCCTCAGGCGCTGCTTATGCAGCCTTACGCTAGCACTGGCCCTGGTCTCGTGTTACCCAGGAGGTGAGCTGAATTAGACCAAGGGTCAGCAAGCTTTTACACACCAAGTGCCATTTTTTTTGCAACCATCAGACAACCAGGTGCCAATGAGCAAGAGTGCACCATAGTGTTAGGTAAATTTCAATGATTACACTCGTAGTTGTAGTGCTAATAGTAATTTCAACTCACAAATTAGTTTAATGTGTTTACCTGGCCATTAGCAGTACATCTATATGTGGGAAAAAAAACGAGTAACTGGTGCACATATAAAATATGTTCATATTTACATGTGCTGAAAAGTTAACTGGACTTACAGACCTCAGACCAGAACCAACACAAGGCACACCTCAGATTTGAACCAATACATGGCAAACCTCAGACCAGAACCAACGCAGGGCAGAGCCCAATGCATGGCAAAGCACAGAGCAGAACCAACACATGGCAGAGCCCAAAGCACAGCAGAGCGCAGACCAGAACCAACGCACGGCAGACCTCAGACTAGAACCAAAGACATGGCAGACCTCAGGCCAGAACCAAAGGCATGGCAAACCTCAGACCAGAACCAACTCACGGCAGACCTCAGACCAGAACCAACACACGGCAGACCTCAGACAAGAACCAAACGCACGGCAGACCTCAGACCCTCATCTAGTGTTGTTATATAATGTATACTGGTCAGCTTACCGTTACATACAAAAAGGCATTCTCCAGAGTGTGCCATTTCCTCAGTATGTATGCAGGAGCCCCGGAGAACGTTACCATGGAAACTGGGAAGCTTGTAGAAGCCCGGCAAGTCCTCTCCACAGGCTCAGACAGTGGTGAGGGGTGGGTGGTCGGGCACCTGGCTGGATGGCAAGCCAGATCTGATTGACTCTTGCTGGCAGAGCTGTTGGCTGCTTTGTGTCCCGTCTCTCCCCCTGCTCTCACTCTCACTGACACACGGCTATGCTGGGGATGAAGCAAAGTCCCAGCAGATGGGAGTAGTGAAGTCCTGGTGGAGGAGTGCTCTGCTCCTATCGACGAAGATGCATTTTTTTGCTCCCACCCGCTGCCACCTGCTTTGTCAGGCGAGTTAGGCGGCAGTGAGGCCTTAGGTGACTGCCTAACTCACCTAATTAGAGAGCTGCCAGTATGGTGTACAATGATAAATGTTGCTCAGTATCACTTTCTTGCACTTGTTTCTCCAAACTGAGCAGAAATAATTCTAATCATAGTAATGGCTGTATTTATTCTAGGTTGGACTGGGGTGGGTTGCAGTATCACTGGAAACACTCCTCATGTGTAAATTTCTTTAGGCCAATAATCAGGGTTAAAAACAATGTGACAAGGAATTCAAACATAGACTTCTTGGTACAGACACACACTTTCAAATAAAGTAATACTGTAAATCCTATCATATATTCCATGTCTTAAAACAATCCACATCCTTCAAAACCATCTAAATACAGTGCAAATACACATATAGCAACTATAACTTGAACTGTCAAAGAATTTGTAATTCTGTGCGACCAGTCTAGGCAACACAACCAGACAGGACAGCCAGAACGTGCATACTCACAGCAGCAGCACAGATTAGTCAAGAACTTTAATGAAAGCATAGTAAGCATAGTGCCAGTCCGAAGTAGTACATGTTTTCTGGTTACGCGGAGGGTTAGTGTTAGAGTTACGGGGAGGTTTACTAGTGTGAAGGGGGTCTTAGTCTAAACCATAGCGCTCAGTTCCTAGAGTTTAGCACCAAAAACTAGCAGCTTGCTGATTAGACATTGAAGAGCCGCAGTACTTGATGAGGTCATTTGCTAGCCCTGTACTTTTCTCATGTCAGCATGTTCATTGTCAGCACATGTGCATTGCAGCAAAGCCTGATTGGCTCCTAGTGCTGCCCCCCAGAGGATACATTAGGCTGATATGAAGAAGAATTCAGGTACTTGCAGTTAATCATTTTAAAATATTGTAATGCTTTATTAATTAATACACAAATTAATTAAACAAAGTCTTCATATCTGCCTGGAGTTCAGATCTATTATATAAAAAAAGGGTAAAGTGGCATGGTATGTAACTAGGGGCCCCAGAGCTCTTGCTATGCATACTTTCACATTGTGGCAGACTTAACATTTAGTATGCACTCCTGCAGCAATTCAAGGTCCGTGCTCCCCCCCCCATCGTTCCATTTCCACCATTGAGATCAGCCACTGGTCGGCCCGTGAAGTAAATCATGCACATGGGAGTTGCATTGTTTTGCACTTCATTCTTACATCTTACAGGTGCCAGGATTTTGCACTGTACATTCACTGCTGTCAGTGTATAATTAGAAAATATAATTGTTAGCAGTTATGGAAAAGGAGTTGTGTGACATCCAAGAGTCTCTTCTGCCATAAAGCTCTATCTGCTAACAATTTTTTCAAATTTTAGTTTAGTTCCACTTTAAAGATGTTAAATGTTGCTCCATTAATCATACTATACCTACAACCATCAAGGTCCTAACTATACAGGCAATGAAGACTAGAATAACAACAATTAGATATATACCTAGCATAATGGATGTCATTTTACATTTGCAATATATGAAATCTAGATGTAAGAGTAATTTTGAATTGCATAGACACATGGCGTAATTAAAACATTTTGTACTATTAGTAATATATACTAATCGCTTGCATTCTTTTCTCAAGGACTTTCACAGATCCTCACACTGGTCCTTGATGAGTTGGGTCTGTTCTACCACAGAGATGTCAATGGAATTGGGGTACTGTACAGTTTGCTCCAGGCTCCATGGCTGCAGTCTTTACTAAAGGTATTTAATAAGAGATGATAAAATCATGAGGGCAGCCTTCTTTTCAGACATCAAGTATACAAATGCATTTAAAATATCAAATATGAGCAATCCATTTAATGCAGACGTTTAAAGGTAACCAGAGTCCATCTTGCTATTAGAAATAGGTTATTTTTAGATAACATTTTGACAACTTAAGGCCACCCATATTTGAATTCAAATTTAATTGCGGAAAAAAAACTATTGTCACTTGCTCTGTTATATACATTGCAAGGATTTTAGCAATTGTCATTGCAGCACCCTACCTGCTACTCTTTCTGTATTGACACAGATGGATTCGACTAAATTCACCTTTTTGAGGACAGAGTGGATTGGTTTTCTTGCTATACAGTATATATGCTCTTATTATCAGTCTCAGTGCAGCAATAAGGAAAAGACTGGTGAGAAAAGCAGTAAAATAATCAGATGAGCAGGGAATGACATTTCTGGGGAAATTCTGTACACAAATAATATACAGAACCTCCCCACTTATTCTCATGGTTGCCAAGGGTACAAAGAAGCCACGTTTAAATACCTAGAAAATCAGAGCTGGCTGACGTGGAACGGTCATTGTTATAGCCCATCTCAGGGCACATTTTTCCCCTAAACCGCCTCCCACCCTTCTAGATAATCCCCAGATTATCTTTTTTTACTTGCCAATCTCCTGTAGTGAATCTTCTTTGAAATCCAAGTGATGTCATCATTCAACTTGAAGATCCTCTTCTTCCAGCAGAGCAGGGAGGATGAATCTTCAGGTCACCCTACAATGCATAAGCACACACCCTGCAGATTTAGTGAGGGGGCATTGAGAAGACCTGTCACTCAGAACACAGAGCGTCGGCTGGGTTGACTGCTCTATTTAACAGGAAATGCTGCCACAAGAACAGTTGGCAGGTAGCATTTCCTGATGAACTGGGGAAGAAAGGAACCGTGGGGCAGCTTAAAGCCCTATAGTAAAGCTGGGGAAGTTACTTAATCTAAAATAAACAATGTGCCCAGAGAACAGCTTTAATAACTTTTAATTACAATGTGGCTTATGTAGATAAGTAAATACATTTGAGTTACCCTATAAAGGAAACCGGAGCAAAATTTACTGCAAAGGTTGCCATTTGTGACCTCCTTCTGAAAATGTTGCCTGGTTGTTATGCTGACTCTCTAAGTTATTAGCCTTAAACAAGTATAGAGCAAGAGAAGTCAGAGCAAAGTCTGAACGTCTGATCTGTGACTGCGAAAGTATTGAAACCATTAGATCATTAAAAAAAACCATACCACTTGCATTTTCATTAAATGTTAGCAATGGCAACTTTCATCCTTTAACCATAATTTTGCTTTGAAGCAAACCTTTCCTATGAGACATGTTATGCTCACTCATTGACTTCCATAATTGTTGAATCCCTGAACTGGGACCAATATACAGATCAGAAAAAACATAGTAAAGTCATCTGCATATGTTTTCTGGGTTGGATTCAAAGTATTGAAGCCAAAGGGTCAACATGACAGAGAGATGCATAGTTTTTTTCAGAATGAGAAGTTAGCATTGGCAGGCTACATGTTTTTTTTCTCAAGAAAAATGTAATTTAAACTCTTAGGGAATTTAGAGTTTTTTAGAAATGTGCAATAAATCTGATCAATTTGCCAAAATGTCATTTATTATTATTATTATTTTTTAGTAACATATATTATCTTGCCAGTTAAAAAGAAATGCAGACAGAAACATGTGCAGAGGCACAAACAGTGTTGTACTAGCAAAACAACTAGAATGCACAGAGACACAATCAGTGTTGTTTTGGCATTCGCAAAAACATGCGGAGAGACAAAATTTACATTGTACCAACGCAAGCAGAATGTTTGCAAGGACGTAATCAGTACCATACTGACGGAAGCAGAAATATGCACAGAGACACAATCACTACTATCTTAATGCAAGCTGAAATATGCAGAAACATCATTTGTACTGTATTGATGCAACCGGAAACATAGACAGAGGCACAATCATTCTGAACTGTACTGACTCATTTAGAAATGTGTCCGCAGAGACACAGTCATTACCGTATTGACACAACCAGAAATGTGTGCAGATATACAGTTAATCCTGTATCAACACATTATTAGATAAGCAACCTACCAACTTATTATCCTTTTTTGCGGAGTGTATTACTGTGTAGAAAGTACATAATGGCACTTGCTCTACCCTACAGGTACATGACTGCCTACACCAATACATAAGAAAAAGGCCTACACCTATTATACCAAAGGCCCGAACACTATCCAGTGAGGTTAGTTGAAAAAGTATTTTATCTAAATGAAAATGTTTTTACTGTAATTTGCTTATTCACTTTATTCAGTTATTAAGAACATGAATCCTGCTTTCCTTTGAAAGAGCCATGGGATGCCTTTAAGGCTCTTAATACATAACAAAACTTAGACACCTTATGTAGAATGTAGGAGCAATGTTTTAAAGTAGTATTGAACTCTCAAACGTTTTTTAATAACAAATCCAAACCAAACAAATATATATATATATATGTGTATATATTAAACTGATGAACAGTAAAAGCGTTTTAATCGTCACCTATGGGCGTTTTTTGCGGGCGCATGCAATTTAAGGCTTGACATGTTTGGTGTCTATTTACCCGACGTGACCCTGACTTTTATGTTTTACTAAAAATATGGGTAAGAATAAATGTTTTACAACATAACGTAGGGAAACTTTTTTGTTTTTTTTTACATTTATGGTACTTTTTTAATTATATAGTAAAAAAAAATACCCCCGTGGTGATTATATACCTCCAAAAGAAAGCTCTATCTGGCCCCAAACTTTTTTAACATACATTGCAAGGCTATAGTCCAGTCATGCTGACTGGTGAAATTTTTGACTGACTGGTGAGACACTATCAAATTTTTCAAGCCCTGCAAATATATATTGCAGAGTATTTCTTTACATTTTTGCCCAAGCACTTACAGTCATCATGTTTCTGAACAGCTGGCTCCAATTCTCTCAGCTCTGCTTCCCTGAACTTCCTGTCCAGTACAAGCTCTCAAGGGACAGAACAGTCTCCAGCAGCTGTCCATTCACTATCTTGGAGAAGGGAGGAGAGAAGAAGGATGCGGGGAGATCGGGAATGGCTTGCCTGCTATGCCTGTGTGTTTCTGAAGACACATATAGCTTTATAGCACACACTAGGGTGTCACAAACTTTAGGGGGAGCCTGAGATGATGAGGGCGTCCTCTCTTGCTGCTCCAGTCCAAACATCCCTGGATAGTGGGAACAGGTGCGTAAGGACAAGGAGGGGCACAAGTGCCGGTAGGTTGCGACTCCTGTCAGAGCTAAGTGCAGTTTGCAGGGGTCCCTTAGCAGGATGCAGTTGTAGTGCAGTATCCTGGAAGCAGAGTAGAAACAAGCCGGGTCAGCAATAATCTGGCAGCGAGGTACACAATTGGAAGGCAGGACGTAATCAGAGACAGGCCGGGTCAGTAACTTGCAGGCTGCGAGGTACCAAGGGAGCAGACAGGAGAGAGGTCAAGGAACAAGCTGAGGTCAAGGAGCACAGAGCAGGAGCAGCGGTCACACAGGCCGGGTCAGTAGCAGATGATCAAACAGGTTTACAGGTCTCAGGAGCAGGGGTACAGCTGAAGATCAGTCAGCAGGGAGGTCAAGGTGTCTCAGTCTTAAATAGCCCTGTTGGCGCCATCATTAGGAATGGGAGTGCGCGCATGCCCGCGCAGAGGCACGCGGCCGTGTACAATCCTCTGTGTAGGACGATGCGCATGCGCACGTGCCCGTCCAGCAGTCTGACCACACAGGCTAACTCTGGCTTCATGACAGAGCCAGAACTTTTGGCTTTTATATCACTTTAAGTATATACCCCCATGCTCATGAAAAGCAAAAACTAGATGATTTAGCTCTACACATCTTGGTTAACTTTGATATGGTAAGTCTTTTTCAATGTGTCAGGTGAGTCAGTGCTTTAAAAAACATAATTATGTTAGGTATTGTTATTTTTGATTATATATTTATTTCTATGCCACAGGCACATTTGATGGGCTATTAACTAGTATTTTTGTTTTGGCAGGTAGTGAATGTATTGCGTGAGGCTCCACCTTCTTCTGATTCTCGTGAATTAAGACGTCTTCTACGAGGCCCACACTTTAAGGCAAGCCATATAACAAAGCAAATATATACTACAGGACTTCTTATAAGTCACCTCTAGGCACTTGTAATTTACTCCTTTATTCCTTAGGCTCTCTTGTCTGCTCATGATACTGTGGCACAGAAAGATTTTGAACCCATTCTTCCCCCACTGCCAGGTAACATACCTGAGAATGAGGAGGCTATGCGGATTGTGTGCCTGGTGAAAAACAAGCAACCATTGGTAAGGTGTTATAGTTATGACTTTTGATGATTATGTTGGTTAGTGTGAACCTTCAACACAGTTAGTTAAAGGGATAGCAAAACACTCATATGTTCATATTGTATAAAAGAGCTTAAACTGAAGACGCTAACTTAAAGCACAAGTATCCTAAAATATGTTTTTTGGTGGAATATCCTTAACATACTTCATAGTCTACATGTAATAATTAACATATATAGATTGACCAAGGGCTTCAAGTAGAAGTCCTAGGACTACAATGTAGCCTTATATACATACCCTTAACATAGCCCTGGCCTAACACTGGTGGTCGGAGGTGGGGGGTTTACATTGCACATGTTGCAGTCAGAGAATATGAATGGGTCACCCCACAGTCTGCAGGTGCAGGCAAGGCTACTGAGACACTCTGCTTACTCCTCATTAGCCCCTGCTGTGCTGAGCTTGTACTTTGCACTGAAGAGGAACTTTGCTTTCAGTCTTCTCCTTGGTCACACACACTACTAAGATGGCTTCTTAGCCCCTAAGCCAGCAAATATTGATCTTCCACTGAAGGGAGAATACTGATCAATACAGGAAGGGCCTGTGTTGATGGACTTTGATGGGCAAATGCTATGTGCTTTTGATATCAGCTTGAGAAACTTCTGAGATCATTCAGAATTCATTGCAAGTGCATTTGGCCTGCATTTGAACTGCTTCATCAGCTTTTAAATTCGCAGAAATCAGGAGGGAAGCATTTCAGAAGTGAACAAAAGCCTGTCAATTTTTTTTTACAATCGCTTTTAAAATATGAACCAATAAATCAGGTCCCTCCCTGCCTCTGAACCCCATAACATTCACCTTGGGTATTCTATTACTTGCAGTGTTTTCCTTTCTATAAATGATTGCTACTCACTTACAATGTGTTTTTGAACTTTCTACAAAAATTAGCTAACCTTTTCCCTTGCACAGCCCCCTCCTTCTTTGGCCTCTCTTCATCTGGGAGTGTTTAATATCTGTGCTGGCCTAGGTCCTCCTTCCCTCCTCTCACCTCCCTACATAACCATTTATATAACAGCTAGGGGAGAAACAAAGGGGAATACTATAGATTGGCACTTGAGTGACAGCTGAGTCTTCTGACATCACATCTATGATGGTGGCACCCAGCAGCAGTCTCAGGGCTTTTGGATGTCTACACAAGAGAGGATTTTACAGGTAAATAATATATATTAAATGCTCATATATTCTTATGGGAATATTTTTGTTGAAATGAATGTCCTGGCAACAGGGTCTCTTTAACATACTTCTTGTAGATTCCACTTCTGAGCAGTAGTGAGCACAAAATCATACTGATATAAAGATAAGTTACTCATAAATGACAGATGGATAGATGACGATGCGTAGCTGTATGACCTAAATGTTAGTGGGTTTGGCATCTTTTCCCTCCTTATCTAAGGACAGATTAATAATGAATGTTTCCTAATTATGAGTTTATTACACTGTCTGCTAAGTCATTGTGATATAACAATTCCCTAATTAATTTCAGTATTTCCACTAGGTACCTATATTTACTTATTTTTATTGGAATTACTATTATTAGGTATACTTTCAAAGTCGGCCTCCAGGCAGATATGAAAAAATTAAGGTATATGTAAATGAAGGCATTGTAGGCAAGGCAAAAAAAAAAGGATGTTGCATTGGTATGTAAAATTAATCAGTGGTCATGTGACCACAATCACTCTGGGATCAGCTGGGCACACCCAGGTGGGGGGCATGGGACCCAGCCAGTCCCAGAGACATACTGTTGCCTCTACACTTGTTTGCTGCAGGTCTATTAGGGTTCTGTGCTGGAGGCTTTGATTGGCTGCTTGACCTCACATGACACACCCCCTAATCTTCAACAGCTTGACTCCTGACCAGATCCGCTGTCAACCATGCTCGGCAGGGTTGTACAAGGGGCATTCATGACATCACAGGCAGACTATGGGACTGCATGCATGCTGTGTATCATCACAACATATTGCTGTTCCCGATAGAGAGAAAAGAGAAGGTAACCTAATAATGCTACCATGGGTCTGAAGCTGTGGTTAGCAATAACAGGATAGCATGGAAAGAGAGGCTACATAGAGAAGACTGGCAGAATCACCAGGTATTTAGACTTTATTGGATTATAGAAAAAAAATTAAAAAAGGTCAAGTATCAATGTTTATATGGACTGAGGATTTGGTTTAAGGAAAACCATATTTAAGGTTACATACTCTATAATGTAGCTAATTATTCCTTAAAAACATACTTGACTGTGTTTTTAATTACTACGAAATTAAGTTCCTGAATCTGCCTTTAGATCAGCTTTATTTGACTCCTGCATAGCTTTTTTTTATATACTAACTCTTTTGTAGCTCTACCTACTAGCATATAACCACTAAACATACTGTAGTAGAGGAAAAGGGCAAATTAAGAACTGTGATTATGAGAAACACTTTTTTTCCCGAAGGGAGCTACAATCAAACGTCATGAAATAACTGGAGACATAATTGTTGCCAGAGTGATCCATGGTGGCCTTGCTGATAGAAGTGGTAAGGAATGTTTTTCTACATCTACATATTTATGTACTTTAAATGCATAGAGCTATGGCGCTTGTACCTTATAATCTATATATTTTGAGCTGAAGCGATACTTTTTTATACGCTATCTAAATTAATTGATGTGTTCGCTTTTAAAAATATTGTAGTCTCTCTGTGAGACATGTCGTTTTATTCATCTTGTCAAGCAGTAAATTATTAATTGGTTTATTGTATTTTTTTCACAAAGTATGTCCCAATCCTAGGTTTATTGTATGCTGGGGATAAACTGGTGGAAGTAAATGGTGTTCCTGTGGAAGGGTTGCAACCAGAGCAAGTGATTCAAATTTTGGTAAGGTGTATACCTCTTTGTATCACACAGAAGTAGCATTTTTGAACTGCGTGGCTATTATATAATTTAATTAAAGACCAGAGTAAATACAGTTCCCATAAAATTAGAAACACTTCTAAAACCAGACTGTAGCTAAAACATTTTGCACAATGCTGGGGGGAGGTAAAAACTCTGGCAGGTCCTTCTTCTGTCACTGTTGACTCTGAACCCAGATTAAATATGGGTCTTTTGAAGTGTCTATGCAAAACAGATATTCAAAGTACCTGTTGGGGATATTTCCTTTCACTTTGTGTACCAGAGACCACAAGGGAAGTGGTGAGAATCACCCCAGCATTGACACAGACGACAACAACAACAAAAATTAAGACTGGATTCACACTGTTCTGTGTGTTGCAGCGTGTATGGAAACATCCAGGCATAGGCATGAATAGGCTCATATAGGTTCCCTTTTACACTAAACTGCAGTGCATAGATATGAACCAGCCATATAGGAAAGAACGATGTTTCTACTTGATATGCATTGTCATGCAGCAAAATGTATGCGTTTTGCTGCACAAAAATGGACAGGGGTGAATAGGCCATATATTTGGACATTATTGATTCTGCTTTCTGAGTTTTTCTCCTTGCAATCCCGGTTCCTATTTGGGAATGAATCCCAGCATGGGAATAAGACTACCTAGTCTGGGTTGTCATGTCAGAAAAAGGTTTCTTGAAGCTCAAAGCCCTAATCTCAGAAACCCTCTTGGTTGAATGTAATCAAATCTGGAGCTTGCAAGTAAGTCCATGCCACATGGTAAATCCCACTTTGGGAATCTTGCTTTTCTCTGAAGTCTAGGATAAAGCCCCCCTAAGAATTGGGTGACTACAAGAGTGCTGAGGCCCAGCCCAGAATAGGCAGTCTACATGGGAGATCTTCACCTCTGAAATGTAGCCGCAGACTGGTTCCCCCTCAAGTTCTTCCTAACTCCTAGCTGGGAATGTAGTGTGCCTTTTTAGAGCAATCCAGACACTAACGTCTTTGTCTTGTCAGATGTTTGTTCTGAGGCCTGTTAAGAGCCTGAATCTTTCAACCTCAAAGCACGCTTGCCGGTCACTGACCAAAGCATAGCCAGGGACCAGAATGGATGATGTATTTGAAGCTTCCATAGGAATAAAAAGGATGGTTTCAGCTTTGTAAAGCAGACATGATCTCCAACTTGTCAGAATTATTTTTCAGGGCAGAATCCATATTTCCGATGGTAGAGTTAAGTGTCTGGCTAACCTCATAGGGGCCAAGTCAACTAAAGGAGGTGACTCCAGACGCTGGACATCCTCTTCCATAAAAGGATATCAGTTTCATACCCTGTTGTAAAAAGTTTACTTGTGTTCGATTTTTCTCAATTTTCCTGAATGAAATCTTTTAGTTCAGTCATCATAGGGAATTACAATGCTCCTTTTGAGGAGTCTGTAATACTTCAACTCTTTGCAGGGGACTGCAGGATCTTCATATTTTAAGGCATCATTAACACCTCTTACAAAGAGAAGCATAGTTCCAATACTGAGTGTCATATTACTCTGTCCACAAACTCACTCTCCTCCCTAAATTTTGGATAATATGATGGCACTTATATCTTAGTTCTGGGAGTCTGATTTGTCCAAAGATTTTATCCTGGAACATTGGCAAACAGTGCTGGTTTTACCATTATGCACCAGAACTAAAGAGTTGTACTTTGTACATTTTTATAATACACTTTTAACCATTAAGGATAGTGATACAGTGATCTTTTATAAACATATTTACACATTGTCATGTTAGGATCTGCAAAACAAGAAAACATTCTGATGATAATCCTAGAAGAGGATTGTTGCTTTAGATCCTAAAGGTTGTATTCCTACCAGCGCAAGTGATGGAAATCCTGACATTTTAGCAAGTATGGAGGCTTAGTTTTGCAGGCACATTTTTCTTTGAAATCTGGCTGCTCCTAAAGAGAAGCAGTCCAGAATGAGAATTTGTAACAATCTAAAATATCTCTGATATTGTAAGCTGCACTATTGTAACGATTTGGGAATGGTGATTTAGATTATCACAGATACCCATTGCTGACTTGTTCTCTGTTTGGGTCTGTTTAGATCAATTGTAAATGCAAAATACAACCTTTTTCATTTACAGGTGCATTCTGAAGGAACAATTGTATTTAAACTCATTCCTGTTGGTGATCGTACCGTGAGCAGTCACACAATGGTAAGAATGACGTTCTAACTTCCTTTTGTGTAAATGTAATAAATATAATTAAACATTAAAGCTTCATTCACACTTGCCACTTGCATTTGTTTGCAGAGATCCTGCTGCACAATTTTGTAGGCTAGATGCTTTGTTTATTCTGCTAGATGCTTAAAATGACATGTGTCTACACGGGTTTACAGAACAGTAAGTCACCACTTGGTGATGTAACTCTAGACATGGAATAAAAAGAACTTTACTTTGAGAGACTTTTAGCGTACTGGTGACTTGCTGTTCTGTTTATCTGATTCAGCGGCCCCATCCGCTGTCATTTCCGCACCGCCCCCCCACCCCCATTGGATGCTGGGGCTTTCTCGGTCAGGAGTGCAGTGGGATTCCTCATATGACTTTACACAGGTTTAAACGCATATGTGTTTAGATGCATCTGCCCTTTGTCCATTGAAGCAGCCATTGAGATTTCCGCAAATAAACACATCTTTCATTTACATTTTGGTGTGTTTAGAAGTTACGAATGATTCCTGGATGCACTTAACTTCTATTGTTTCTTAACGTAGTTAAACTGACTACAGATAAAAGCATCTTAAACGCAAGGTGTGAATAGATCCCTTGGAAATCATTAGATGTGTGTATCTAATCACACCTAGTGTGAATGTAGCCTTCATATTTCCATAATACAAATTAAAATAATTGTTTAAATATCTAGACAATTGGACAATCTCTATACAATATATTTAAAAAAAAAGGATATAATATATTCTGGTGGTTACACTAAGGCCATTATTTTTTATAAACAGCAGAGAACAGTAGTGAGTAGGAAATAATGGCAATCAATCACATATTCGCTTTCAATCACAATATCCACAATACACTTATACAATGTGGTTTCTGTGTTAATAATAGCACACTGTGTTACTAATGTGTTGATGGTGCAATCACTGAAGATGATTCCAAGTTTGAATGCTGTGTTGTGCCTTTATTATTGACTTATAATGGTTAATGGGCAGATAAATAGCTGTTTTTGGAAATAACACAATTTATATCATTATTTCATTGATTAGTGCCACACCAGCTAGTGGAAGACGGAATGTTTATATTCTATCTGAATGAAAAAAACAAACCTAAATTAAATTCTGACTGTATACCCAGAGTCTTATTTACTAGTTTTTGTACTTTGCTTTTATGAACCAGACCTGAGGGGAGGAAAGTGTGGGGGGCCGAGAGTAGTTACAAGACTCCTGTGGTTCAGTTAATATACAGTTATTTGGTCGTCATCTCTTTCTCTGTAGGCTCTTATTTAGTGTATTGTATAGGCAGGTGATTAATTTTAAACAGTTACATTGTTAATCAGGTTGAAAAAAAGTCCATCAAGTTCAACCTATAGGCTGGGTTCACACCTGGCCGTTACTATAGGCACGTTTTTTAGTTCAGTGAAACGAGGGTTCGACGCTCGTTTTTATACCTCCCTGGCGGTATGATTTTTTTTCCCTTTATTTTCTCTATCTTTTTTTCGGGGTTTTTTTTTGTAACTTTCAAACTTCCCGCCGGTTCCCCCCCCCTGCGACGCGGACGCTCGCAAGGGACGGAACCCGGAAGACGGCAGCGGCCGGAGGACACAGCTGGGATCGCATACAAGGTAAGACCAACGCTGTATTCCCGAGTGTGGCTTGGGGTTACCGCTTTGTTAACCCCGAGCCACACTCGGGAATACCAATGGATACGCACGGAAATACGCCCCAAAAGAAGCTCCTGTACTTGTTTGGGCATAGCGTGTTTTTCAGCGCGTTTCCACGTGCTGAAATACGCCCAGGTGGGAACCATGCCCATAGGAAATGATGGGATTTCACTTGCTGAGCATTTTTCAGCACTTCGATCAGCGCTGAAAAACGCCCAGGTGTAAACCCCGCCATAGAGATAAGAGGAGAAAATAGAAAAGAAAAGAGGAAAAACCTAAAACAGAACGCTATGCCCACAGTTACCCACTGTTGATCCAGAGGAAGGCAATAGTTGAATTTTCTCCAACAAGGGAAAAAAATTCCTTCCTGATCCCATAAAGCAATCGGATATTCCCTGGATCAACAAATTATGAAAGCTGCCTCCAGAATTGCTTTCTAGTTTAATTTTTGCAGTAATGTGTAACACAGATGGTGACAAAGGTTACTTGCACAGAAGGGTGTCATCATGTCCAAGTGCCTAGGTCAGGGGTCTCAAAACTTTTAAAACAAAGGACTACTTCATTGTATGTCAGACTGTTTGGTGGTTAGAATGTGGCCAATGCTGTACAGTTTGCCTTTAAAAAAAATATAGATTATATATGTCAATATAAATGTCAGATGCATTTTTTCTTTTCAGCTATTTGTCCGGGCAATGGCAGATTACTGGCCTCAGCAGGACCCAGCTATTCCCTGTGCAGATGCTGGTTTACCTTTCAAAAGAGGAGATATCCTACAGATAGTGGACCAGAGTGACTCCATGTGGTGGCAAGCAAGAAAAGCCTCAGACCTCAGTAGGTGTGCGGGCCTTATCCCATCTAACCACCTTCTGAAAAGGTAATCGTTGCCATGTTTACAGCTAGAAAATCGCCATATTCAATTTTTTTAAGGATTTTGCATACCAAAAAGTAAAATGTTTTAAAGGTAAAATATATTTTATTTATGTTCCAGGAAACAACGAGAATTTTGGTGGTCTCAGTCCTTCATGACTCATTCTTGTCTTAAAGCATCCCACTGTGAGTATCTGCCTGTCTCTTGGCTGTCACTTTCCCACATTACACATGCGCAATTTGTTTTCAGATGCATCCAAATTTCTTTCCCCTATGAACTTTTATTGTTAAATTTTTCTTCATAGCTATGTATGTGTGCGTGTGAAAGGGTATGTGTATGCGTGCAGGGCAAAAAATTTCAGGTCATGAGCTACTAGCCAGGCCTGAAAAATTATTTGCCATCAGTTGTCCTGCATAACGCAAACAAACATACAGAGGGCACAAGGCACATCAGCAAAACACACGGGAGCATTACACATACCTCCACTGCACAACGCACAAGGACATTATGTATACAGCCACAGCACTATGCACAGAGCATTAGACATACCGCCACAGCACAACGCATAGAGCATTACACATACCGACACAGCACAACGCACATAGCATTACATATAGCCACAGCACAACACACATGGTATTATATATGCTGCTACAGCACAACGCACAGAGGATTACACATACAGCCACAACACAGGACATTAGACATATAGCCGAAGCACAACGCACATGACATTACACATGCAGCTACAGCACAATGTACATGACATTATATATACAGCCATAGCACAATGCACATGACAGTACACATGCAGCCACAGCACAATACACATGACATTACACATGCAGTCACAGCACAACGCACAGGACATTACATATGCAGTTACAACACAACGCACAGGACATTACACATATAGCCAAAGCACAACATACAGGACATTACACATATAGCAACGGCACAATGCACGGGACATTACACATGCAGCCACAGTACAACGCACAGGATATTACACATATACTTACATCCATGATACACACATGGCACCCCGACCTATCTCTATGTCCCCCTCAATCACCTGCTGGCAGGGGCCTGACACTTGGGACTAATTCTGGTCCCATGCATAGCTATTGCAGCTCAGGCCGAATGAAAGGGACTTGCCGCATCGGAAGCTCCTGAATGCAACTCGTGAGCTCCCGAATGCCATTCAGGTATGGGAGCCTCTGCTTTAGTATATAACACCTTGGCTCCCAGACCCAAATGGCATTCTTGAACTCCCGAATGCTATTCTGAAATTTGGACTCCCGGACTTCCCCCTTATCAATTGGGGGGGACGCCATGCTTTTTTTTTTAAATGTCATTTTTAAAACAAATTTCTCTTTGCTGCAACGAAAATTCGTTCATAAATACTACCGCATTCGAAATGAATGAAAATTCGGATTCGTCCAAATCCCGAACCGAATTGACTTTCAGACCCGAATCTTGAAAGACTAAATAAAAAATAATCTGAAACGAACCGAAACATTTTTTTTTTGCCAGCGTACATGTCTATCCCACATACATAACTTGCATTCAGAAGTAGATTATAATAACGGCAGAACAGGCAGCTATCTTGGGCCACAGACTCCAGGGCAGGACATGGTGATACTAAACAGTTCTACAAATCAGTGCTCTTTACAGTAAGTCAATTTCAGCTTTGCAAGTCCTTAGACTTAGATTTTTAGCATTCACATACTTTGTATTGCTCTCATTGAAGGTTTCTGTTGTTATTATCTATGTATACATATACACGCTCCCTGTATCTGGAAGTTCAGTATTCAATTATTCCACCACTGCATAGAATAATTCTGTAATTGTAAACACCCACCCGGTTCTGAAATAAGGTGTAAAGTAGATTTCCCCTATATTATATATTATTATTGCCTGTCACTCACTTATTTTAGCCACATCTCCAGTGTTAGCTCACAGGCTGGTTGATAGTCATATCACTGTTATTGGGCGTTGGCTGTGGTTTGAACATCTGTCCCTAGCTGTTGGCACTTTTTCTGCTCAAGCATCTACAGACCTCTTTCTTCTCCTACAATGAATCTTCTGCCCCCACCACAGTCTGCTACTTTGCATGTATACCAGTGCATATCAACACACATTGTTATGCCCCCTGGGGTGTGCTCCCAGGCTTGTGCAGGTCACTGAGTCTTTAACTACATTTGTTAGAAGAGAAATTGCTTACCTCTCCTAAAACTGTTAGTTGCGTGTCTGCCATGATGACCCTCTTGCTTCAATTCTGTAAATCACTGACTTAGATCAAGTATGTAGATATGGGCTGCTGACATTTCTGGAACTCTCCCAGTCCACATGCTTGTTGTGGGACAGTGACTAGGAAACTATTAAAGCTTGTAGAAGACAGTCAAAAAGCATTTCAGAAGGACATTAGTAATAACAGTCCCTGTAAATATGTTATGACAAGTTTTCTAATTTGCCAATGGACCCCATGAGTTGCATGTTGTAGAGTGTAATTTAGCTCTTTGGCATACATTAATAAAGGGTTGGCATACACAAACATTTAGGATGCCTTTAAAATTAGTTTACCATTCAATTTTTTGGGCTCATATGATTTAAAAGCAAAATACAAACTGACCCCAACTGATGTAAAAAAAAAAAAAAAAAGAAAAACCTTT